TCTACACTTTGGGTTTTTCTGCTTCAACAAACTGAAGCACTGTGATGTACTGAAATACTGGTCAAAGAGGAGTTAAACCAAACTCAATCACTTTGGTAATTGTCCAGTATAAATGCCATGGCAGAGTAGGGACTATTTCTGCAACTTCCATCTTAACAGAGCAGATTGTGTATTCTGCTACAGTGGAATGGCCGAGTTAGAGCAGATGGTGTATTGTGCTACAGTGGAATGACCCAGTTAGAGCAGATGGTGTATTCTGCTACACTGGAATGGACAGGTTAGAGCAGATTGGGTACTCTTCTACAGTGGAATGGCCACATTAGAGCAGATGGTGTATTCTGCTACAGTGGAATGGCCACATTAGAGCAGATGGTGTATTCTGCTACAGTGGAATGGCCACATTAGAGCAGATGGTGTACTCTGCAACAGTGGAATGGCCACATTAGAGCAGATGGTGTATTCTGCTACAGTGGAATGGCCACATTAGAGCAGATGGTGTATTCTGCTACAGTGGAATGGCCACATTAGAGCAGATGGTGTACTCTGCAACAGTGGAATGGCCACATTAGAGCAGATGGTGTATTCTGCTACAGTGGAATGGCCACATTAGAGCAGATGGTGTATTCTGCTACAGTGGAATGGCCAAGTTAGAGCAGATGGTGTACTCTGCAACAGTGGAATGGCCACATTAGAGCAGATGGTGTATTCTGCTACAGTGGAATGGCCACATTAGAGCAGATGGTGTATTCTGCTTCAGTGGAATGGCCAAGTTAGAGCAGATGGTGTACACTGCTACAGTGGAATGGCCACATTAGAGCAGATGGTGTACTCTTCTACACTGGAATGGTCAAGTTAGAGCAGATTGTGTACTCTGCTTCAGTGGAATGGTCAAGTTAGAGCAGATTGTGTACTCTGCTTCAGTGGAATGGTCAAGTTAGAGCAGATTGTGTACTCTGCTTCAGTGGAATGACCCAGTTAGAGCAGATGGTGTACTCTGCTTCAGTGGAATGGCCAAATTAGGGCAGTTTTGTGCTCTTCTACTTGAGGTGAGGGCAAGAACTGAGCTGTGTGTCTCCCAAGCACAGTCTAGCCATTGAGTTGAGAGAGCAAATTAGATAATCCATACTTTGCCCATTTTCAACCCTATGGGGGCCTAAACTTATCACTGACCATCAATCTACTGCCTGGTATAGTGGGGACTGAAACAATCTAATTTTCTGGCGTCTCAATTTCATCTATTAAGGAGAAGCTACTTGTGTCCTTGGATTGAAACAATCAGGTACAGCTTGGAGGAATTGTGGCTCAGAACAACTTTGGATTTATGTGATGGAGGACTTTAGAATAGCTTGAAATTTATGTAACAGACCTCCGAACAACTTTGGATTTATGTGATGGAGGACTTTAGAATAGCTTGAAATTTATGTAACGGAGGACCTCAGAACAACTTTGGATTAATGTGATGGAGGACTTTAGAATAGCTTGAAATTTATGTGACGGACCTCAGAACAACTTTGGATTAATGTAATGGAGGACTTTAGAATAGCTTGAAATTTATGTCATGGAGGATGTCAGAACAACTTTGGATTTATGTAATGGAGGACTTTAGAATAGCTTGAAATTTATGTAGCGGAGGATGTCAGACCAACTTAGTATTTATATAACGGAGGACCTTAGACTAACTGGAAATTTATGAAATGGAAAACCACGGAACAATTTGGAAGACCTCAGAACAATTTGAAATTTGATGGTCATGTTCATGCTAAGACACACATTACTTGTAGCTTATCAGTGGCTGGTAGCCTAATGGTTCACACATTCGCTTGTTAGGCAGGAGGCTTGGGTTCTATTCCCGTTATAAGTACAATGTGTCAAGCCTATTTCTGGTGTTCCCCACTGTGATATTCTGGAATATTAAACTGTCCTCACTCACATACAGGTGGGGCACAGGTGACCAGTCGTTTAAGGAACTGCGATTATGTTTCTAGGTTTGTCAGCACCATATCCGTACTTGTGGGTTTCACCAAAGTTGTAAACATCTGACACGTGCATCACTTCTGGCTTTCCTCCCACTTTAAGCTGTCACGCTGTATTATAATAACTGGAATACTGTTTGAAGCTTACTCACTCACTCACTCACTCACTCACTCACTCACTCACTCACTCACTCACTCACTCACTCAAATACAGAGACTTATGACAATCAAGGTGAGTGAGTGAGTATGGTTTTAAGCTGCTGATTAGCAATATTCCAGCAATATCACAGCGGGGTACGCCAGAAATGGGCTTCACATGTTGTACCCATGTGGGGAATCGAACCCGGGCCTTTGGCGTCACGAGCGAATGCTTTAACCACTAGGCTACACCACCACCCTGACAATCAAGGTGGTATGACTACAAAATATGTAGAACTGTGTAGAAAGAAATGGAAAAAAAACATATAATTATGATACCTTTCATATTTGTATTCCAAATCAAGTATGTTGGTGTTTGAAATTCCGTATTCGACGTAATGAGCGCCCAGGTCGCTCTCAAAATTACAAATAGGGGGCTCTTATTAGAATATTATTTTGGTGGAAAAAACAGAGTTGAAAGATAAATTTTGTGGTTTATGCTGACAGCCTGAAATGTTTATGTACGACAGATATATTTTTCCAGAATTTAATTGCTCATAATTAAGGGTGTATATAACACACGATTGTGTATTATACGCGAATAAATAAGTCTTGTGTACATTGATCAATCTGAAGGGGTGCTAATTGGGATTGTTCACAAGCTAATATGTTAGCAATTATCGCCATGGGCGCTTATTAGAGCGGGGCGCTTATTACGTCGAATACGGTAAATGAAGACATCATTATGTCAACATGTCCTTTTGAAAGTCGCCCATACTGGGACCCAAATTAAAAACTAAATGCAAGGTGAATGATGGAGCGGACATCCACACAAGAAGAATATGTACCTTGTCTGCATCACCACAAGTGATGAATTTACGAAAAACACCGAAGGTTATTTAATGATCTACCATTCTAATCATCGGAACACGATTCTGTGGACCTGTGGTGCTAGTTGTTACCACACACTGCTGCCCTACTACCTATTGAGCCCGAGGGTGGTGATACGGTGTATATTCACCACGCAGGATCAACATTCTGTGTCCACTAGCATCAGACTCCGATCCATTGACACTCCTGTCTGTATCCAGCGACAAAGGGATTTCATTTACCTTTAACTATCATCTTGGTGGTGTTATGAAGTTGAGGCTTGAGTTTATTTCAATATTGCCTTTAAAGCTGCTTCGTGACCTTGTCTAGGGCATGCTGACATACTGTGTTGGTGGGATAAAAGTATTGATTATGCAATGAAGTTGATTTTTTCATGGTAATTGAATTACAGTGTGTAACTGAGTGGAAAACTATTGATAGAAGGGAGGTAACTCATGTATGTAGTGCATAAAGTGTACCCACTTTGCAGGAAAATTCATCGGGGATCGTTTTGCGTGGGTGGATAGATCTGTAGCCATTTGTTCAGCTTAACATTCAAGTTTGTTTTTCCTTTTTCGGTTGTTTGAATTCCATTAAGGCAATATTCAAATGTTTCAAATTTAGATAATGTCTTTAATATTGGGTAATACTGTGAATGCTGCTTTACTTTGCAAATGAATGTTTTGTATGACAATATTCTAGCCATTGGGCCACCGACCCCTAAAAAACAAAATGACATTCCTCTGAACAATGTGGTCCCCTGGCACTACAGTATCACTGAGATCAAGGCTATTTCATCTCATCAGCCTAAGAGTGATCTTCAGAATCCCATGCTTGCTGTAAAAAGTGACTATGCTTGTCGTAAGAGGCGATCGGGTGGTCAGGCTCGCTGACTTGGTTGATGCATGTCATCAGATCCCAATTGTGTGGATGGATGTTCGTGATATCAATCACTGGATTGTCTGGTCCAGACTCGATTATTCGCAGACTGTCGTCATATAGCTCAAATGTATCTGAATACAGCGTTAAACAACAAACAGACAAGCAAATACAATGAATTCATCATTCAATTTTTTTTTAATTCATCCCACCTATGAATTTTAATGCAGTTAAATTGGCTTCCGGTTTAAGTCTGGCTTCCTCATCATGTGTTCCCTTTCCATCATGTTGCTATAAGATTATCCTTCTCTTATCCTTATCTCATGTATGATAACTGTTGCTGTTTATCCTTTACCTACCATATATTACTCTGTACCATGTTTGTTATTCAGTCTTGCTTAACAATGGTACAGGATCTACACCGAAACGTTGCTATGTCAGTATAATGAAGAAGTTGTTATCCATAATCTTTTGTCTACTTTGTCATCCATCAACTTCTAAGATATGCCTTTCAAACAATTTATCCAAAAGTTGTTCCCATTGCTGTGGCTGAAATTGTGCCTATGCCACATTCACTTGCAACTCACATACTCACATACTCTCATTCTCACATACTCTCACACTCACATACTCTCACACTCACATACTCTCACACTCACATACTCTCACTCACATACTCTCACTCACATACTCACATACTCTCACACTCACACTCTCATACTCTCATACTCTCACACTCACATACTCTCACACTCACATACTCTCATACTCTCATACTCTCACACTCACATACTCTCACACTCACATACTCTAACACTCACATACTCTAACACTCACATACTCTCATACTCACATACTCTCATACTCTCACACTCACATACTCTCACACTCAAATACTCTCATACTCACATACTCTCATACTCTCACATACTCTCATACTCACATACTCACACTCACATATACTCTCACACTCACATACTCACTCTCATACTCACACACTTACATACTTTCATACTCACATACTCAAATACTCACATTTGTGTGAATTGTGATGATGCATTGTCATTTGTGTGTACAGGTGCTGCTGGTGTTGTCATGTCATGTTGTAACCTATCATAATTCCGGGAAACTGTTTTTCAGCTGACAACCGTAAGAAGAAACCGCGGAGGCGGGAAAAGCAGGACTACAGTGTATTCAGCGGACCAGAGGAGGAGAACTTCACCAAACTCTCCCCCCAGTTGGCACTGGCAGCCTTCCAGTTTCTGTGGACCAGTGAGTTGCATAAAGCTTCTTCTTGTCAGATCAATGTCGGTCACTGGTGGCTCAGTCATTTCACCATGCAGAGTTGTGTCCCTTAAGCATTCCACAAACCTATAATTATGGATTTGAATCTCAAATTATGCTGCTTGATTTGTCAACATTGTACTTGTGTTGGTGGGTTACACCAATATGGTAAACACCTAAGACCTGCATCACTTCAGGCTTTCATCCCACATCAAGCTGACACGCCGTGATATAACTGGTATACTGTTCAAAGCTGTGTTAAACCCAGCTCACTGTGATATAGCTGAAATACTGTCCAAAGCGAATTGATTTTTCATGTAGTTATTTAATTTGATAAGTTTTTGTTTGATCTACATTTAAAATCTCTGGCACTTTTCCAATTTTTCTTTAGTGTATGGTACGTGCAGTATTTTGATTCACTTAGCAACATGTCAAATGTCAGAATTAGTTCACATTGTCTGAGGTGGCAGGAGTGTCCCAGTGGCCCATGCCACTGTAACTAATGGTGTGTTCTTGTCTCTGATAATATCTTGTCTGTGGCTATGTCACTCCTCATGAAGCAGACATTGCTGTGGTACAATTGAAGTACTGTACAGAGCTAAGTTCATCCGTACTCACTCTTGCAGTACTGTTCAGAGCCGAGTTCACCCCAACTCACTCACTCACTCTTGCAGTACTGTTCAGAGCTGAGTTCATTCTAACTCACTCACTCTTGCAGTACTGTTCAGAGCCGAGTTCACCCCAACTCACTCACTTACTCTTGCAGTACTGTTCAGAGCCGAGTTCACCCCAACTCACTCACTCACTCTTGCAGTACTGTTCAGAGCCGAGTTCACCCCAACTCACTCACTCACTCTTGCAGTACTGTTCAGAGCCGAGTTCACCCCAACTCACTCACTCACTCTTGCAGTACTGTTCAGAGCCGAGTTCACCCCAACTCACTCACTCACTCTTGCAGTACTGTTCAGAGCCGAGTTCAACCCAACTTACTCACTCACTCTTGCAGTACTGTTCAGAGCCGAGTTCAACCCAACTCACTCACTCACTCTTGCAGTACTGTTCAGAGCCGAGTTCACCCCAACTCACTCACTCACTCTTGCAGTACTGTTCAGAGCCGAGTTCAACCCAACTCACTCACTCACTCTTGCAGTACTGTTCAGAGCCGAGTTCAACCCAACTCACTCACTCACTCTTGCAGTACTGTTCAGAGCCGAGTTCACCCTAACTCACTCACTCAATCTTGCAGTACTGTTCAGAGCCGAGTTCAACCCAACTCACTCACTCAATCTTGCAGTACTGTTCAGAGCCGAGTTCAACCCAACTCACTCACTCACTCTTGCAGTACTGTTCAGAGCCGAGTTCAACCCAACTCACTCACTCACTCTTGCAGTACTGTTCAGAGCCGAGTTCAACCCAACTCACTCACTCACTCTTGCAGTACTGTTCAGAGCCGAGTTCACCCTAACTCACTCACTCAATCTTGCAGTACTGTTCAGAGCCGAGTTCAACCCAACTCACTCACTCAATCTTGCAGTACTGTTCAGAGCCGAGTTCAACCCAACTCACTCACTCACTCTTGCAGTACTGTTCAGAGCCGAGTTCAACCCAACTCACTCACTCACTCTTGCAGTACTGTTCAGAGCCGAGTTCACTCCAACTCACTCACTCACTCTTGCAGGACTGTTCAGAGCCGAGTTCACCCCAACTCACTCACTCACTCTTGCAGTACTGTTCAGAGCCGAGTTCACCCCAACTCACTCACTCACTCTTGCAGTACTGTTCAGAGCCGAGTTCACCCCAACTCACTCACTCACTCTTGCAGTACTGTTCAGAGCCGAGTTCACCCCAACTCACTCACTCACTCTTGCAGTACTGTTCAGAGCCGAGTTCAACCCAACTCACTCACTCACTCTTGCAGTACTGTTCAGAGCCGAGTTCAACCCAACTCACTCACTCACTCTTGCAGTACTGTTCAGAGCCGAATTCACCCCAACTCACTCACTCAATCTTGCAGTACTGTTCAGAGCCGAGTTCACCCCAACTCACTCACTCACTCTTGCAATACTGTTCAGAGCCGAGTTCACCCCAACTCACTCACTCACTCTTGCAGTACTGTTCAGAGCCGAGTTCAACCCAACTCACTCACTCACTCTTGCAGTACTGTTCAGAGCCGAGTTCACCCTAACTCACTCACTCACTCTTGCAGTACTGTTCAGAGCCAAGTTCACCCCAACTCACTCACTCACTCTTGCAATACTGTTCAGAGCCGAGTTCATTCTAACTCACTCACTCTTGCAGGACTGTTCAGAGCCGAGTTCACCCCAACTCACTCACTCACTCTTGCAATACTGTTCAGAGCCGAGTTCATTCTAACTCACTCACTCTTGCAGGACTGTTCAGAGCTGAGTTCACCCCAACTCACTCACTCACTCTTGCAATACTGTTCAGAGCTGAGTTCATTCTAACTCACTCACTCTTGCAGTACTGTTCAGAATCGAGTTCACCCAAACTCACTCACGCACTCTTGCAATACTGTTCAGAGCCGAGTTCATTCTAACTCACTCTTCTCTTGCAGGTGTGGAGCCTTTCTCCGAAGACAACTTGACTCGCAACGTCCTCAAGCGCCTCCTTCAACAGAACATTGTCGTGAACCTTACTTTCACAGAAGATGATAGTGAGAAGAACTATTTGTACAGGGCTGGGATTGAGTGTGACTACTTCATCCTCATCCTTCAAGGTTAGATATCCAAAGAGTTACCCAACTATTCCATGTGAGACTATCCAAGGTCAGATACCCAAAGAGTTACCCAACCTTTACGTTGTGAGACTATCGAAGGTTAGACACCCAATGAGTTACCCAACCTTTACGTTGTGAGACTATCAAAGTTTAGACACCCAAAGAGTTGCCCAACTATTCGGTGTGAGACTATCCAAGGTCAGATACCCAAAGAGTTACCCAACCTGTATGTAGTGAGTCTATCAAAGGTTAGACACCCAAAGAGTTGCCCAACTATTCGGTGTGAGACTATCGAAGGTTAGACACCCAAAGAGTCACCCAACCTGTATGTAGTGAGTCTATCCAAGGTTAGACACCCAAAGAGTCACCCAACCTGTACGTTGTGAGACTATCCAAGGTTAGACATCCAAAGAGTTACCCAACCTGTATGTAGTGAGACTATCCAAGGTTAGACACCCAAAGAGTCACCCAACCTTTACGTTGTGAGACTATCCAAGGTTAGACACCCAAAGAGTCACCCAACCTTTACATTGTGAGACTATCAAAGGTTAGACACCCAAAGAGTTACCCAACCTTTATGTAGTGAGTCTATCCAAGGTTAGACACCCAAAGAGTTACCCAACCTTTACGTTGTGAGACTATCCAAGGTTAGAACCCAAAGAGTTACCCAACCTTTACGTTGTGAGACTATCAAAGGTTAGCCACCCAAAGAGTCACCCAACCTTTACATTGTGAGACTATCCAAGGTTAGACACCCAAAGAGTTACCCAGCCTTTACGTTGTGAGACTATCCAAGGTTAGACACCCAAAGAGTTACCCAACCTTTATGTAGTGAATCTATCCAAGGTTAGACACCCAAAGAGTTACCCAACCTTTACGTTGTGAGACTATCCAAGGTTAGACACCCAAAGAGTTACCCAGCCTTTACGTTGTGAGACTATCCAAGGTTAGACACCCAAAGAGTTACCCAACCTTTATGTAGTGAGTCTATCCAAGGTTAGACACCCAAAGAGTGACCCAACCTTTACGTTGTGAGACTATCCAAGGTTAGACACCCAAAGAGTTACCCAGCCTTTACGTTTTGAGACTATCCAAGATTAGACACCCAAAGAGTTACCCAACCTGTATGTTGTGAGAATATCCAAGGCTAGACACCCAAAGAGTGGTGTAAGTAGGCAGTTGGGGTGAAATCCTGAGGGTGGAGAGGTGGGGGGTGCAAGCATGAGGGTGGGGTGGTGGAAGTAGGGCAGTTGGGGTGGAATCCTGAGTTGGAGAGTTAGGGGTTGGAAGTGAGCAGTTGGGGGTGGAATCACGAGGTGGAGAGTTGGGAGTATATCCAGAAATGTCAGGCCTGGCCCATCTTTCTTCCATACTGGCCAGTGAAAAAAACAAGTCGCCCAGAAAGGGATTATACCACACTGTAACTTATATAGATATTAATCCTACACAAGGAATGGTTATTGGTAGAATAACATTGCTAAAATAGTGTGACCCTGTGTTCAATCCTGTAATCACAGTTGTTTTAGTAGGAAGTTGTTCCAACATGATGTTTTCTGTCCAGGCCATGCTGACGTGTACGTGGGGAAGGAGAGCGTGGCATTTGAAGCGGGACCATTCAGCTACTTTGGCAGCGGAGCACTCAGTAAGACATGCTAATTAACTATCACTAATCACTCTACTGTAGGTGGCTAGGAAGTAGATAGACTTGTAGGGTGTGAATAAACAGCTGAGTGAATAATTCAGACCTTCAGATTTCAGCAAAGTATGGACAAAGGTACCAAATGGAAGTACGTATAGGAAAGGCGTTATGAAAACCTGTGATATACAATATGCATAAATATATGATATTTAATTGCATAGATCTGTAGAATATTTAATGCATGCAGGGGGAATATATATGTATTTGTTTGATATACAATGTATATACCTGTAGGATATTCAACCTAAGGACCTGTATGAGATATCGTCGGATCATAGGTTTTTGGACATGATAGGGTTTTGGACGGACATGCTTATGGTGATTAGTCATGCTATAACGTGGTTGTAGCGTCGCACAGACAGTGTTAATACTCAAATGATAGTTATTTTTAAGAGAAAGATTTCTTTTATAAGTGAATGAGCTCTTTGACAGCTGTTCATGTGATTGGAGAGAACACTATGAATGTTTCTTAAGTGTCAAAATTACCACATAACATAGGGATACAAGTTATAGACATGTACGATATTCAGTGTGTTCATGATGTTAGACATGAAGGACATGATGCAGTGGATGAAAGCAGTGGCTGTACCATGTATGCATCCAAAAGCTATTAACATATCTGTTGTGTTTCTGCAGTCTTTAAAGAGAGACAGCTGGCGCCGCCTGTCCAGGAGAGTGTTGACTGCAAGAAGGAGCCGTACACCCCGGACTTCACCATCAAGGCCAAGTCCTTTGTGCAGTACCTGCGTATCCGACGCAGTCACTACATCGCTGCCAGGCACACGTCGATGATGGTGCGAAAGCAGCATGAGTATGTCCAGAATGAAGAGGAACACTTCAAGAAGGAATGGCACAAGGCGCTCAATTCCTCTCAAATGAGTCGCAACAACAGCAGCGTGACCTTCAGTGATATCTTGGACAAGAAGGACTCTGTTGAAGGCCTCCATCACAAGGCCTCAACGCCGGACATGCCTACCGTTGAGATCATAAATGCCTCCAGTAGCGAAGCAGAAAAGAAGGCGTCAAAAGCTCAACTTGAGGACTGGTCCGAGGATGCAGCCAATTCGGATGATGTCATGTTGAAGAAAGTCAAGGAAGGGGACGTGAATGCAGATGGAGATTCTGTTAAAGAGGAGACAACTCCAGCTGACTTTGATGAAGAGAAGACTCCACTAGTTGGACATGGAGACCAGAGGGAAGCCAAGCGTTCTCCCAAGCGTTCTCCCAAGTTATAGCAGTAGCTGCACCCGACAGGGGCAGATAACTCTTACAGTATTTATTTGATTAAACACCATTTGGAAGTGGACAATACCAAGCACTGTAGAACTCTCACCAACAAGACTCTAGTCTTTCTTTGCTGAAGCACTGTAGAAATGCAACACTAGCTTCACATGTGTCAGTAGAGTACATTTAGTTAATGTTATTCTGGTCTCTAATACTGATTAATGAATGAAGGACACACAATGCTGTGGAGGTCCTCGAGACTCCCTACTGGAAAGTTCATTACCCATACAGGGACACATTTCTAATCTTTCGCTAAAATGTGCTGACATAATTACCGAGCCTCTCTCTAAGTACTACCTCTCCCTGATTACCACCCCTCCCTTATGACAGCCCCACCCTAATGACTGCCTTCATTACCACTAAACTTAAATAGACCTAACCCCACCAACAATAGCTCAAAATTGGCTCTTAACATCACTTCAATTAGATTTTAATGTTATTGTATGGAATATTATTAGCTGAGCTTACCGGACGGAACAGAAATTTTACTTGACTTTGGCTTCGGACTAGTAGCTAAAGATGCAGACTGCACTAATCATGTTGAGTAGTATAACAAAAGTTTGCATTTCTATTAGGCTTCAGTAAATTCTGCATGTTGAACATCTGTATATGTAGGTTTTGGTAACGATTGTGCTGAGAAACCGTCAACTATCAGCTCGTAAACCATGCTTCACAGTTTGATATTGTTAGTATTTAGCCTGGCTTTGGCTCCAATGTTCACACCATCATGTACTCCACACCAAGCAACATTTGCTTTAGATGTGAACAATTTGTCATAGTTTACACAGGATATCAGGAGACTGGTGTCCTTGACCTTGATTGGATGTGTTTGACGTGACATTCCATAAAGATCAACAAGCTTGAAATTGGGTCCACAACAAATTAATGACTTGTTCCCTGGAATTGACTTCAACCTCTAAAACATGGTAAGATATTTGATGGAGATTCTTCTATCTCAGACAGGGTGTGTCTCAAGACATGCCAAGGCTGCCAACATGATGGAATATTTTAAAGAATTCCACCTGCCTTTAGACTGTAAGACAATTTTATAATCTGAAATAATGTTATTCATTATTTTTTTCAAATTATTATCATCCCCTTGTCAAGATAATTGGACAAACATGAAGTTAATTTGTTGTGGCCTTACTCAGAATAATGAGAAATTGATTGAATATTTTGTACAATTTAGATTACCTTCAATTTGTTATCTACCATATTCAGAACAAATCTATATCTTACCTCATAGCAGATATTTGCAGTTTCAACCTTTATCATATTGATGTTTTGCAAAAAATTATATTAGAAGCTGTTTTGTTACTTATCTTTTGAACAAATAGGTCTTTCACATCTGTGAACATCTGCACATGAAATATTGTTCTCTTTGTCCTGAAAAATGAAAGTATTCCATCTTTGATTTTTTGGAGAAAATAAGTTGTGATTTCTATCTTAATTCACCAGTGGTTTAGTGATGTTAGTAATGTTATTGAGAGAAGCAGACCTAAAATCAGTTCTGGGACGTTGGCAAGTTCACCTGAGCAAGAAGCAACTGAAAAGCAAATAGAGGGTAGAGGATTAATATGCATATATAGGTACTAGGCAGTTACATAGCAAAGGGGTGGATGTCAAGGGTAGACTTGGGGAATGCCTTGAGGGTACACAATTATAGAATAAACTTGGGAGGGTCAAGAAAAAAAGATATGTTTCAAGGGTCTTTATGAAATATTGGTATGTATACTGTTGAGATGTTTTAATAGATATAAGAATTTTGTCCAAAGGAAACTTATGTGACCAAAACAAACAGAAGGGGCCTAAACAAATTTTGAAGGGAAAAAGAGACTAAGGGTCGCATCTTTAACGCTCGATGTAAGAATTTGCATTTTAAGCTGAACACTTAGGTTATAAATGTTGAGAATTTTTATCAATTTCTTCTTGGGGAGTGACAGAATAACTGAGAGCATTGCTACCAAATACTGGACCTCTGTTGAACAGGTGACAACCTTCTCATGTAAAATGAGTTGTGAGGAAGACATGATTGATGTTACTGTATGTTGAGGCTGTTGAGCCATGAACATTATAATGAATTTGGCTTCTTCTTGGAGCTTCCTGCGGAAAAAGAAGCTTAAATATGATGGAAATAATTTACTACTGTGCGTGGAGTTTAATCAAATAGATGGACCAGTGTATATTGTCTGTGATTTGTGTGACAGAAAAGAGTTTTAGATTGAATGAATAATTATTACATGACACAATGTATTTCATTTTACAGTTCTTAGGAAAGCTGTTCTTTTTCTTCATATAGACTCTGTAGTATATTATTTGGGGAGGTGCGTGTGTGTTATGGGACATCTAGTGGTACAAGACACAGGAACTTCTTATGCAGAGTTATCTCCCTTGGTTGGCTGGATGTCAGGACTACGGATTTGTATCCCTGATTGTCCCTCATACCTGTGATAGGGCAACTTGGCAACTTGCTTCATTGAGTGTCCTTGTACCTTGATGGCATGGATTGTTGCTCATAATATCAATCACTTGCTTATTTACAGGCTGCCGACACCTAGCTGGAGTATTACTGAGAGCGGCATTAAAATACTCAAACAAACAAACAAACAAACAAACAAATCTTTCCGAAACAAACAAACAAACAAACAAATCCTTCCGAATATGACACACTCTCTGGAACATCAAGATAGGAAACCAAGAACAATTTTCAGGTTTCATGAAACCACAAGGGAATTTTTAAATAGTGACTTTCATTACATTTAACAGTTTATGATTGTTTGAAATAATTACATTGATGAAATAGTCAAGGATGAGAATGGAGGACATGCGACCCTTGTGAAATATTACTCTCATTATTTCTGATCAGCATGTTTTGATTGGTTTAGTTTCATTCAGAAGGCCTGGATGTTGTTTGATGCCATAATATATATCATCATATCCCCGAAGAAGACTAGCAGATATATACCATTTTGGTTTACAAACAAACTATATATACTCTTTTGTTAGTTCATGTTTATTAGTAGAAACCCGTGAAGATCCGGATTAGAATAGATCTCTAGCAACCCACGCTTGACGTAAACGGCAACCATGCTTGTCATACGAGGCGACCATGCTTGTGAGAAGATGCGACTAAAGAGACTGCTTGGTCAGGCTCACTGACTTGGTTGATGCATGTCATCGTATCCCAATTTCGTATACCCATGCTCATGATGTCAATCACTGGATTGTCTGGTCCATACTCGATTATTTACAGACTGCTGTCATACAGCTGGAATATTGGTAAGTGCGGCATTAAATTACAATCAACATCAACTTATTTTTAGGGGCTTCAGTATCTTTTTGACTTCAGGAGACATCTGAACAAAGCCCCACTTGGGTAGATTCTACAGATTTATTTGTTTTGATCGTAGTTTATTCCTTGATAGGGCATTAATTACTGGTGAGTACGAGTGTTGTGTTGTGTGGTTAAATGAAGCAGAACAAAGTCAATGACGTGATTTCTGTATGCGTCTGGATATATAACACTTATCACGTATAAAATGCCAAATGATGTCATAGTTTACAACTTGTTCTTTATAACTCCTCCCCTTAATATTGTTGTTAGAAACTTTACCCTTTTTGAATTTGATGAAATATAAGCACTTTTGAGGATGACTTGTCATTTCTGGCAGCATATTGGTAACTCATTGTAAAATTTACATATGTATGTTACTGTTAATGTGAAGATTGTACAGAATGCATGTACCTCCTGTTGTGTGTCGGTATTCCCAGCTTCAGGAAGATGGCTGGTTGATACAGGTAAGGGAGATAACTCCTTCAGACTTAAATGGTTTCTTTAAGGGAAGTTGATACATGTGTACGTTTTGTTTCTCTTTGCACTCACTCACCTGCTCACTCATTCAGTCTCTCGTTCTCTCCCTCGCTCTCTCCCTCCTACAATAGTTGAATCAGGTCAGATCAGTTTTGTTGGGGTAGCCTTCTGGTTTGCCGGTCATGCTGTAGGTCTGGGTTTGATTCCCCACATGGTGCAGTGAAATTCTCCTTGTGTCCCCCACCTTTATAACACTAGAATATTGGTAACAGCACCGTTACGCTCACACAGTTATGTCCAAGTGACGAACCAGGACGATACTATTTTGTCAGAATGACGAACCAGGACGATTCTTCGACATAGGTTTTTAGCCTGAGGAAGCCAAGGTGGCAGTTTCATATTGATTGTATGTTATCTACTAAGAATGATTTGAGAAATAGACTAAGTGTTACAGTAACACTGGAAAAGAAATGGATAATTTGAGTGACAAGGAATTGGTTGGCAATACCTTGAGGCTTTATATTATCTGCAATTTACATAGGACAAATGTTAGGATTAAGTGCACAAGCTTGTCCAGTTGGAGGTGCAGGAATGATGCCTCTGTTCAATTTGTTTGTATTTATGAAATTGTTTTAAGATTTTAGAATAGCACATCTATAATAAATTTTAATTGGCCTGGCTGTTAGGTACAAGATAACGTGGTACATTCCTTCTCCTGTATATGTGCTGACTGCTTACTAGGTACGGCTGCTGATGGACACATCTGACCTGGTGTGAATCCGATTCTTTTTCCATTCCAGAGTGAATTTCCTTGTCGGGATGATTGTTCTGGGTGTCATGGCCATGGCATGAATATTGTGTGCATTTAGAATACACTTAAGCCGTTTCAGATCATTCTGTTGCATTCAGTTCAAACCATCCTTCATTATAAAATCTGTCTTGAGGTGACAGAAAAACTAGGAAGAGATACCTCATGCTAGTCCTTATTTCAGTACATTAATGCATTCAGACGCGGATCCAGAGGGGGGTCGGGGTGGGGGTGGGGGGTCCAGACCTCCCGCTTTTGAAAACCAAAGGTATGTTGTAGGACAATCTCTTTCACCCCCTACACTGAGAGAGGATTTGATATTTTGGTATTTGGACCCCTCCCTTTTAAAAATGTTGGATCTGACCTTGCCATGTTAACCATGAAGGATACATGACTATATGTTTTCCTGAAACCTGTCAACAACCAAATACTCTTAGGATTGTCACAAGAAGCAAGCTGGTTCAGGCTCAGGTCATTTAGGACCACCTTGGAGGTCTCGTGGATAGAGCATCTGCCCAGAGAGAGAAGAAGCCTGGTGGTTCGATTCCTGGCCTGGTCACACCATAAGATGTTAAAAGATGGTACTTGTTGTTACCTTGCCTGGTCAGCATTAATGGGATGAAACAAGGACTTGTTACTCGTAGTTAGTATACTGTGTCAGAGTTAGGTATTCACTGCGGCATGGTATCTTAGTGGACTAGCACTATAAAACCTTCATTAGTTCCTCTTACCCCAGCCTAGTGGTTAAAGTGTTCGCTAGTCACGCCGAAGACCCGGGTTCAATTCCGACATGGGTACATACAATGTGTGAAGCCCATTTCTGGTGTCCCCTGCCATGATATTGATGGACTCCTGCTAAAAGCGGCATAAAACCCTACTCATTCACTCAGTCCTCTTGCAACTGTCATTTGGCTGTGTGCATTGTGTGCCAATGATGTTGAACCATCCTGCTTTCAGTCACTGGTTTGCCTTGTCCAGACGTGATTCTTTACAGGATATCCAGGATATTGCTTCACCCCATTTCATCTATGTGACATTAAAGATCACATCTTTGGATAATTCTTGCAGTGTGTACTTAAGTTACAATCGCATGGTTGCCTTCGGGAACCATCATGGATTATTTCTCTGTCACCACTCAGCATCATTATTTTAGTCAGTGTGCATGTAATATCACCATCTGTTCTCGATTGGAACCATCCTCTATAGGTGGGGGAATATTTACAACAGCTGCCATGCTGGATTTACATGAGGCTAAGGAATAATCACATTTGGTTTTGCGGTAAAAACTTTTGAAAATTTTGAAGATGGAATGGCAAGAATGTTATGATTTTGAGGAAGTAATATGATTATTTACTGGAGGATGTTTAAAGGATACAGAAGAGCTTTAGAAACAAAAGTACATCAATTCTTGATGGTGCAACTGTAAGCATAGGGTACCTGTGGGATTCCGGTTAAGAATATAGGTCTCAAGCAACCTAAAGGGGGCACGGGTGGCCGAGTTGTTTAAGGCCCCACGATTCGCTGTGCAGAGTTGTGTCCCTTGGGCACTCCAGAAACAAATAATTGTGGCTTCGAATCCTGGTTCGCCCTGAATGGTATCTTAGTGGACTAGCACTATAAAACCTTCATTAGTTCCTCTTACCCCAGCCTAGTGGTTAAAGTGTTCGCTAGTCACGCCGAAGACCCGGATTCAATTCCCGACATGGGTACATACAATGTGTGAAGCCCATTTCTGGTGTCCCCTGCCATGATATTGATGGACTCCTGCTAAAAGCGGCATAAAACCCTACTCATTCACTCAGTCCTCTTGCAACTGTCATTTGGCTGTGTGCATTGTGTGCCAATGATGTTGAACCATCCTGCTTTCAGTCACTGGTTTGCCTTGTCCAGACGTGATTCTTTACAGGATATCCAGATATTGCTTCACCCCATTTGCTCTATGTGACATTAAAAATTACATCTTTGGATAATTCTGGCAGTGTGTACTTAAGGTACAATCGCATGGTTGCCTTTGGGAACCATCATGGATTATTTCTCTGTCACAACTCAGCATCATTATTTTAGTCAGTGTGCATGTAATATCACCATCTGTTCTCGATTGGAACCATCCTCTATAGGTGGGGGAATATTTACAACAGCTGCCATGCTGGATTTACATGAGGCTAAGGAATAATCACATTTGGTTTTGCGGTAAAAACTTTTGAAAATTTTGAAGATGGAATGGCGAGAATGTTATTATTTTGAGGAAGTAATATGATTATTTACTGGAGGATGTTTAAAGGATACAGAAGAGCTTTAGAAACAAAAGTACAAAAATTCTTGATGGTGCAACTGTAAGCATAGGGTACCTGTGGGATTCCGGTTAAGAATATAGGTCTCAAGCAACCTAAAGGGGGCACGGGTGGCCGAGTTGTTTAAGGCCCCGCGATTTGCTGTGCAGAGTTGTGTCCCTTGGGCACTCCAGAAACAAATAATTGTGGCTTCGAATCCTGGTTCGCCCTGATTCTAGGTTTGTCAGCACCATACCCGTGCTCGTGGGTTTCACCGAAGTGGTAAACATCTGAGACCTGCATCACTTCGTGCTTTCCTCCCACATTTAGCTGACTCGCCATGATATACCTGGAATAATGTTAAAAGCGACGTTAAACCCAACTCACTCACTCACTCCAGCAACCTAAGTGTGTCGTAAGAGGCGACTAAACTGTCACCACCTCCAGTCAAAGCTTGAGAACCTTAACATTGTAAGCTCTAGTTAACTACATTATTTCACTGCACTGCTGTTGTCTAGTTGTGTGAGCACTTTAGTCCATATTTGCCCTCACATTTCCACTCTCACATGCACTGTGTATACCTGTCCAGTAGCTAGACTGAGCTGTTATGTTAGAAGCACCTGTTTTACAGTAGACCTGGGAAGGACTGTCTGACTGCACACTCACCGCACAACACCAGGTGACTGCACAACACCAGGTGACTGCACAACACCAGGTGACTGTACAACACCAGGTGACTGCACAACACCAGGTGACTGCACAACGCCAGGTGACTGCACAACGCCAGGTGACTGCACAACACCAGGTGACTGTACAACACCAGGTGACTGCACAATACCAGGTGACTGCACAACGCCAGGTGACTGCACAACACCAGGTGACTGCACAACACCAGGTGACTGCACAACGCCAGGTGACTGCACAACGCCAGGTGACCGCACAACACCAGGTGACCGTACAACACCAGGTGACCGTACAACACCAGGTGACTGCACAACACCAGGTGACTGCACAACACCAGGTGACTGCACAACACCAGGTGACTGCACAACGCCAGGTGACTGCACAACGCCAGGTGACTGCACAACACCAGGTGACTGCACAACACCAGGTGACTGCACAACACCAGGCTCCCATAGGGTACGACTGGTCAGGAATGTGACTGGAATAATAGGATATGTCGTTAACCCCTTGAATGCTGTCTATTATTGAAATAGAAAAGTGAAGGTTATTATGTTCCATGTTATCAGCCTTGTTTTGCACACTTTTTTATTTTATGTTTCACAGTTATTCCAGCTGTTCCAAACAAGGTTGGTCGAAATAAAAATAAAAGTAAATAGCTATGTCAATCATTCATTTATTAATGTCTGGAAGTCATCCTGCCATGGAGTTAAAACTGCGTCTGCCTTCTTGAATCACTGATAGTGATGTAGACATTGAGTTTATGTGTAACATTTTATATTAAGAGGTCCATATTACTAACAGAAGACAATAAAAATAAATATTTTTATGATTAGTTTTTTGGGGGGCATGGGTGGCCCAGTTGTCAAAGGCACAGCGATTCACTGTGCAGAGTTGCGTCCCTTTGGCACGCTAGAAACCTCTGATTGTGGGTTCGAATCCCGGTTCGCCCCGATTATATATCTAGGTTTGTCAACACCATACCCGTGCTCGTGGGTTTCACCGAAGTGGTAAATGTCTTAGACCTGCATCACTTAGGGCTTTCTTCCCACATTAAGCTGACACGCCGGGATATAACTGCAACACTGTTAAAAGCGGCGTTAAACCTAACTCACTCACTCACTATGATTAGTTTATTTCTTTGCCTGCTGCTTTTCTGTAGGGGCGGCGAGCCTGTGAAACAATAAATAAAAAATGTGTGGTCTGAAGGGACTTTAGTTATTAGTCCTATGGGGAGGAGATACCCTTCTTTATTCTTAAGTTACCCAACCGTGTAGATCAGATAAAAGGAACATGTCACCGCCACCACAGCTGGAATATTGCTGAGTGAGGTGAAACTGCAAAAGGATGGCTGAATCAGGAGTGTCAGTTATTGGGGCCATGTTGGTCAGTATGATGCAAGTGAAGGTTAACATAGGCACAGGTTTAATGCTGAAGCAATGACAGACAGCAATTCACCTGGCATATAAAACAAATGAAAAAAGCATGTTTTAACACCTAAGGTGTTCCTTTCATGAACATGTGTTTGTTGTTGGTGAAAGTGTTACTTGTGTCAAATACTAAAAAACAGTAAGGACTACCCGATGTTGTTCACATTACTAACGTTTATCCATCATGGCATGAGTAATAGTAAAGCAATATGACAGAATCGGATGGTCCTTAACTTTTTTTGAGTTATATATTCGTGAAAAATGCCCGTATTATGCAATGTTGATCTCTATCTGTTATGGACTGTTAACATTGAAAGAATATTGAAACTGTTTGAAACACTTAAAGCATTTTTTTTATACCTTTGTCATTTTCACCCTGGACTACTGAACTAACCTTTTCCCCAGGGCCTTGTTGGATTGAACTGTGTGTGAGCCTCCCCCTCTATATATCAGTTAAGAGGTCTCTCTCTAGACCCCTATTGTTGATCTCATGCATGTACTCCTTGAGATAATTATTCAGCATCACATTTAGTCATATTTATCCGAAAGTGTTATATATCAAACAAAAATGTATAGTAACAACAATTGTATTGTATATTTGTCCTTCAACATTGAAACTTATTTTTATTGTTTATCCAAAGATATTTTTGTTTTGTTCATTAGTACAACCTGTTTAGAAACTCCCTACATGGTCCTTCTGTTCCTCTGAGCTACAGAACATGGGCACCCAGGACCTGAATTCATCCTGATCCTGATGCTTGGTCTCTCAGCTTGGTTCATGTCAGGTAGCCTTGTGGTTAAAGCGTTCCCTCGTCACACCGAAGACCTGGGTTCGATTCCCG